TTATACTTATCCTAATTATTGGTTTTTTAATTTTTAAATTTCACAACCAAAACCCAAATCATTTAAAATCAATTCGCTTTAATTTTAAAATAAAAACCCTAAATCCAATCAAATCCTACTAATCAGTTATAGTTTTGGTTGGTTTTAGATTTTTTTTTCTTTTATGGTTTTTTCCACCCACCCCTATCATCGATTGATTTGATGTGTTGTAGTAAATTAATTTGTTTTAATTAAATTAATTTTAATACTAATCAACAAACACCTTTCAATTTTGAACTGATTATTAAACAGTGATGTTTTTTTTTTTTTTACAATAGTATAACAAAAAGTGGCCATAACATAACAACAATCCAAGACAAACTCTTAGTACTTTTTGGTAAATTAGTTGGAGTAGAGCTTGTGCTGATAAAAAATGGTTGGAATAGTATTCCTTTAATTAGTACCCTTTCCATTACCATTCATGCTTCCGTATAACTAATTTTTAACCAACCCTGTCAACAAATAACTTTGGGTAGTACTTTATTAATTGCGATAATATGTATGTTTAAACCTTTAGCTTGATTAACCTCATGAATACTAATAAACCCCTTCGTTTATAAATACTAAGTAAAACTCCATTTTTAAGGTAATAGGTGTGGCCCATGGCACTTAAATGGCATTGGAGGGACTCAAACTTGCATTCTTAACATAGTTTGAATACCTCTTGAACCATTTGAGCCAATCAACTTTAGGCAATACTTTTGTATAGCATATAAATGAAAAATTAAAAAATAATAATAATACGTAATTCTTGTTGAGTAATTTTATTTAATTAAAAGAAAAGTTTAATTGTTATTCATATAATATATAAAAACATTATCTAAAATTATAGAGTTAATTATATTAACAAATAAATAGTAATGAGGAGTCTAATATTTTCTTTACTTGAAAAAATTTCTAAATTGATCCATTCTTTGATTAGATGTATTAGATTTTAGATAAAATATTGTGGAGTTCAAATTGTATTGGATTGCAAACATTAGATGGGAGTAGACTTTTAATATTAAAGTTTTCCTTCATCCAATAATTTATTTTATAATTTAGTACAGTCTAAACTATAAAACAAGAGATTTTTAGATATTTTTTGTTATTTTGCGTTGAATTTACAAATATATATATATATATATATATATATATATACTTGTTTGTTTTAACCATGTTGAGACTCATAAACATGTAAAGACACATTAATCTAATAAATTAGTTTTTTCAAGTTAAAAATAAGATTTGACACAAATGTATTAGTTCACCCTTATTTGTGCTCCCTTTAAGCTTGATATCCTAACAAGTGCTATCAAGCTAAACAATCAATGACAACACTCGCAAAAATAGAAAGAAAAATAGATTATGTGTGCCACTACTGCACCCATGAACGTGTGTATCACTCTCGAGCCATCTTAGTCTTAATTTTTTTACGTAATTGATCATCAACATTTCATTTATTTACAATTTTGAAAGAAATAGTCAGGTTTAAGTCTTTGCTTCTTCATGGTAAGAAAACATGATATCAGAAGTTTTATGATTCTGATGATAGTGCTAGTTAATGTTCTTTGTTAGATGCAAAATTAGCAAACTTACAATCATTGTTACGAGGGTCTCCTAAAAATGATTCAATTATAGAAATGTAAAGCAATCATCAATAATACTACTTTTTAGTAACAACTGTCTGAGTTTGTACGAAAAAGGAAAAAGGAAAAGGGCAACCGTTCGAATGAAATCTTGGGTGTGGCATTAAGCTATCAATCTCATACAAGGAAAAAAGAACTCCGAAATTAGTCTCACTGATAAATAAATATTATGTAAATTAAGTCTAAAATTTAGGTTTTGGGGTCATTAATCAAGAAAATTAAATTTTATTAAATTTTATTAAATGCAATAGAGTAATAAGAGGATAAACCTTTAAAATCGCATAAAGGGTAATTGCTAATTGTCCAAAAATAAATAGAAGTACAAAAAGAAAATCTAACGCACTGAATGGTCACACGTCTTGGTTAGCCAGCTAGAAATAAAATATTGTTCATGTCAAAAAGGATAAAATCTTATGTTAAGTCTCTAAATTTTATTTTAAATTTTTAATTAAATTCTTAAACTTTTATTGAAATAAATAAATCATTGAACTGAACCTAATCTAGAGGGTCAAGTGGCTTCCGCCACTTTAAACGTTCAACCCCTCTCTCCCCATGCAACAGTTCAATCCGATTTCATGACGATTATTTAAAAAAAAAATAATAAGTCATTGAACTTGACAATTTAAGTAATTTAATTATTTTTCTTATAACAAACTTAATACTTATTTGTGCTTTACTTATGTTTACAAAGTTAATATTTATCACATAGATAATAACTTGTTAATATCTTATTCACACAAACAAGACACGAATAGATATTAAGTTTGTTATAAAAAAAAAAATTAAATTACTTATTTTACTAAGTTTAAAATTTATTTATTTTAATAAAAATTTAACAACTTAATAAAAAAATTCTAAAGTTCGGGAACTTTATGTACTGTTTTGCCTTTAAAACGATTAGTGCCGGCTTTGCCTATATATAGCATTTGTTGCTAGTTCACACAGGTTTGGATGAACAGTGCTATATCTTTAATCAAATCTAGGGCATAAAGTTTGCAGGATATGCTCCCTTTGGATCAGCGTAGAAATTTTTTTGGAAGTTGAAAAATTTTATTTTTGTTGGGGGTACTTCCGGTGCAAAATTAAATTGGTTTCTCTCTCCAATAATTTAACATCCAATAATGATTCAGGAGAATAGGAGAGAAAGAAGTCAAATAGCTTTTGGAAAAATAAACCAAACCCCTTTTAAACAAGTATGCACCATCAATATACATTAGACTACACCAACAAAGCCAACCCATTATCCATTCTACTACTTCTATATTCATTTCTTCTGCAATAAAAATACACTACATTTTGTCATATGGTATACCATAATGATTGGACTACAATGCTTTTAGTTACAGTGTTTATTACAATGTAACATAATATTAAACAAGTGGTTCAAAATTTGAGTCCTCATACTAAAAGTAGGTAGAATGTGTGAGTCGATACATATCCACTTGTTTGATACCACATTACATTGTATAAAACATTGTAAGGAAAAACATTGTAGCTGAATCATTGCTATATATTAAATACAAAATCTAGCCCTTTTAGGATGTCCCACAACGCACTACCAAAAATCAGAGCCCCACTAAAAAAGTTGCCTGCATCATTGTCCACTAACCCCACCGGTGGTACAAAATAGAAAAAGGAAGAGCATATCAAGTGAGCTTTGACAATTCATCTTCTTTAATTGGACTTCTCAAGAAATGAAAGGACCTGCCTGTATTCTTCTAGGCATTGACAACGAACCCTATTTTGAAAAAAAAAAAAAAGGCTGGGAAAAATGGCAAAAGCAAAGACTATTGCATCTGACTTTGATTGCATTTAAAACTGAGAAGACAACTTATTTGTGATGTTAGAGTGGACAACGTAAGATGTAGGGACACTGGGGGCGAGTGGGATGCATACCCTTTTCACATGTCTATGATGGCTGGTTTGTTTCTGGCTTGACAATTGATGAGGTATCCGGCGGCTGGGTGTGGTAGATTGCTGTGGCAAGTGAGATTGGCATGATGCAAAGAGCCTTTGATTGAAGTAATTGCATGGCAGCCCCAACATTTTCTTCCATGAGCTTGGCTACTTGCCGCTCCGTGCCATCATTTGACCACTTCTCCCAAGCTGGTTGATTTCTTCCTCCTTCACTGCTTTCATCCTAATACAAAGTATGGACAACTCAGTTGCCTGAATAGGAGGGAATAAACAATCTTACAGATTGATCTTTTATTAGTTTATTACCTCGACTGATGATAGTGGGATGTCCGTAACAAGTGGCGCCACTGCACCAGCACCGCCCAATCTACTCATGCTTAAAACCTGTCCAAATAATTATAGAATATTATAAAAGATTAGTACAAAAGTTTCAAATTTGAGGGTCTCGATTTTTAGGGTGTCTGTTCTGCACTTTTATGTTGGAGGATTCAAACAAGGACCAAAGAGATACTCAGCCAATTATAGACTAATCACATAAGAATAATGGTAAAATCAAAAGAACAACAGAAAATGTAGGGTGACAGTTTCCAAATATTGAAATGATGCCCATGGTTTGAGATTTCTTAGGGCTTTTTTTGACTGAATTGATGAAAGAGAGACTTCTCATTCTCATAACTTACATTCATCGGGGCAAAAATCTATTTCAGCTGAAAGAAAATGAATTTTTACTTATAGTTTACATTCATCAGGACACTAGAAATTTGATTTTAGAGAATATTTAGCAAACATTTACATAGGAGTAGAACATGCATTGTTTGTTTACAGAAAAATATGACATCAAATAAGAAATAAAGTTAATTATACCTTAACTTGGAGCCTTAAGAACTTCACATAATCAACAATTTCATCAAGCATGACTGCTCTATCAGTCTGCACAAAGCCACAAAGAAACATGTTTCAATATTAACGGAAAATTGAACAGTATACTTGGTAAAATTTTCAGCAATTACCTCCCAAAATGTACTTGCAAAAACAATACATAAATACACATTTTCCATGATCTCTAGAGTCTAGAACAATACGGCTTAGTTAGAGCATAACTCCATCCATTATATATACAGACCATACTCTAGCATGACAGCTTTTAGAAAAATAACATTAGGAGTTAGCAATACTTACTTTAGGGTCTTGCCCAGATAAAGGAAACTCTAAAATTCAATGACGCGTGCTGTAAAGTGAAATAGTGAAATGTAATGCTAATTTGAAGAAAATAATGTGGGATCTCTAATTCTAGTTCACACTCCTAAAGCATGTTTGGTTTGAGGGAAAAAATGGATGGAAGGGATGATTTTTTTTAGCCAATCAAATTATAACATTAGAAAAAATGCAATGTGATTGGTCAAAAAATCCATCCCTCCCCTCCATTTCCCTCAAACCAAATGCACCATCAATTTTCCAGACCGCATAAGGATCTCCTGAACTCCTTCCAGGAATAATGTTCCAACAAAATAGACAAGAGTAATTCAGGATGCTTCTGTCTAAAATCATATCAAAAATGAAAAGGCAACTAACAATTAAATTTTATAAAACAGAGAAAACAAAACTTACCTTGTTGACACTAGGAACAAGTTCCTGCAATGCTCTGATTCTTTCAGCTATCCTTTCTCTCCGCAACTGCACCAAAGGGAAATTTTGAAGGCTTGTAGAAGCATGAATAATGTAAATTCAGAGACAAGTAAAATTAGATTTGAATCCTAGGTATAACCTTAAAGTAGGGGTAGGACCAATTTCACAACAACAGGACAAGAATGACGAGGTCTTTGAAAATTTCACAAGTGTGAGAATGATTGGGAGATTCATAACCTCTTGTTTTGTTACTCAGAACATGAAGAAAAAAGATTCAAATCCAGCCCACTTTTAGACAATCCCCTCAAAATAATAAATAATGACTTGGTGTATTTTCACGTCCATACTAGTCTATAGACCATTTCTCTAGGCTTATTAAAGGAAGCTTATAGCCTCTTACTCCCTTAACTTTCTGTTTATAAATTCAGGTCATCACCAAACTTAGTTTAGCCCAAAACCAACCAATTCATAGATTAATAATCTTGGTCTTGCCAAGAAACACGTGGAGTGAACTACTTTTAAAATTAATTAAATCAAAATGGCCTTCAAGACTGAGTAAAAATCAAACAAAAGATAAACTATTCTGAAAACAATTAAATTCTCATTTCAACGTCCAACTAGTCACTCTAAAAGGTTTAATTAAAGTATCCAACATAATAAACCTGATTTCTAGTTTTTTCCCTTTTCATTAGTACGACTTGCAAGTGATCACTTAGTAATGCATTTCAATTTAAATCAATATCTGCCAATGTATAAATTTAGCTTACCCGCTCAGCAATGCTATGTGGATCTGTAGCCTGTCCTCGTCGGGCCCGCACCCTCGGTCGCATTGCAGGTGGATGTGGTGCTGTAGCAACTGTTGTTTGCATTGGTTGGCTGTGGAAAACCTGTAATTATTATGAATGTCATATCACTATGGCACTAAAGAAAAGAAAGAAAGAAAGAAATTAAGGGGGGAAAAGAAAGAGGTAGAGAAAGGGGAGGAAAAACACAGAAAATTGCCTAGAGCCTCTAATTGTGTAAGTAAGACAAGTAGTCAAAAACAACACCACATGACCAAATATACCTTTTCAAATCAGTGTTCAAAATTCAACAGCAATGAACAAACCAATATATATATATACATATATATATATATATATATATATATACCATGTAAATTTTCAAACTCTTGGAAATTATTTTTCCACAAAGAATGCATGCTCAAAGTACAAATAGGTATAGGAAAATCAGAAAAGTTCATTCCAAATGATAGACTGTCCAATGTAAAGACTGCCTCCCATACAAATTAGGCAGTCAACAATTGATCATTGTAATGGAGTGTTCAAGAATAACATTAAAGCGATACAAGAGAACTTCCCTTTTTGGATGGTTATATAAGAGAATTTCACTGATGCAACACTATGCTCTAGCAATACTAACTTGTGTTTTGATTGTAAGAATATTAACTTGTTAATACTTGAATAATGAATTTCTAATCATGGTGTAAAAGTCTTTTCTATTTTCTTCATTGTATAACTGCCAGTTTGATACTTGACCATCCTACAGGACCTCCTTGTATTCTTTTCCTTGTCAAATACAGAACTTGGTATGTGACCTAGTACTCCCAGCCAAACTACACCAAGTTCCTGACTCCAAATTGTCGTCCTTTTCTTGTCTTCTTTGATATTAGACATGGTCAAATACTAACATAACAATAAATACAAACAGATAAATTTTATATTTATATTAAAAAATTTAGGAAAAAATATTGCATCACATACAAGAAAGACAAACAGACACGCTCTCTTTACTCAGTAGCCAAATATTTGGAGAAAAATTAATCATTTTGTTTAAGTATATAACATCCTGATAGCAAACTTTTTTAGCCAAGTGAAGCAATTGGAAAATTCAGAAGTCCATTTCTCTCCTTTTCCTTCATTTCCCACTAGCCAAACAAACACTAAGGTAAAATTACTCAAAGTTTTAAGAAATTTAAAAATGAAAAAGGACGCTCTCTTCTCTTACATTTTTCACAGAAGAAGCTCTGCCATCAACGACCTCATCCCGAAACCGCTTCCCGCTTCCAGAAGACTCGTCAGGCTTCAAGAACCCACCTTTCCCCTGGTCCAAACTCAGCCCCAACGGAAACACCTGTCCATGAAACGCGGTTCCTCCACCACCACCACCACCACCAATTCCGGCGAGGTGACCAGACCCATCTCCAGAACCGAGTTGCAGCATCATCGGCGCGCCAACCGCAGCCGACCCAGCTAACCCGCCATCAGCTCCCGCCAAGCCAGTATCAGCTGCAGCAAAATTCGGCAAACCCAGGATTTGCTCAAAGAAATCATCCGCCGGGGCTTCATTTGGGTTATTTGCCATAACTGAGTAAACGTGGAAGAAATGGAGCAGAGATAGGGTTATACTCAAAGAGCACCTACATGCAAAGCTAAAAGGAATGAGAAAGAAGGTTGAAGAAGAAGGTCCCTTACTCGCCGCCGAAGGAACGGAAAGCTTGGAGCTTTGATTTTCGGGGTTCGCTATGTCGCCGGAGAAACAAAGAGAGAGAAACAGAGACAGAAAAAGATTGGAGAAAAGATGGTGGCTTTACGGTGGTTAAAAATGTTTTGCTTTCCGTAAAAGGGGTTGCCTTTGCTGAAATTTACGTGTGCAGCCATTTTCCGCTACTTTGGTTCTTCTAGCTTGAAACGACACCGGTTTCGAGCCGTTCACTCCACTCACCAACTTTCACCGGGCAAAAACCTATTTTTAGCCTCTCACCTTATCAAGTTTGAAGGTTTTAACCCCTCACCTTATACTATAACACTTTTAACCTCTCACCTTATTAGATTTGTAGGTTTTAACCCCTTACCTATTAAAATCAAAGAAAATAACCCTCACTTTATATTGACTATTAACTCTGTTAGCTAAAAATAGATTTTTATTAACTAATAATCAACTAATAGCCAATTAATAGAATTAACAATATATTATAAAGTTAGTTTTGTTAATTTTATTAGCTGAAAAAAGGTTTTTAACAGCTAATAGTCAACTAATAATCAACTAATAATCAATTAATAAAGTTAACAATCAGCTAATAAAGTTAATAGTTAGGTAACAAAACTAATAAAATATTATAAAATGAGAGTTATTTTCTTCAATTTTAATAAGTGAGGGGTTAAAAGTGTTATAATATAAGGTAATAGGCTAAAATTTATAAATCTAATAAGACAAGGGGTTAAAAATATCATAATATAAGATGAAGAATTAAAACCATTCAATTTAACAAGATGAGAGGTTAAAAATAAACTTTTACCCTTTCACCGTGGCCAAAAGGGGTAGATTCTTAAAATTAATCGTATTAAAGCAAATTGCTACTTTATCCTAAGAAAATAACGATGTAATTTGTGATTTTACATTTTTAATTTTAAAAAAGTAGTTAAAATTTAACTGTTATTATTAAATTTTTTAAAAATTTTAAAAATAATAATTTAATAAAATTTAGCGATAATTATTAAATTTAAATTAATTTTAAAAATAAATATTTAAAATAATAAATTATGTGGATTTTTTAAAGTAATGATTTAGTTCAACGCCACAATTTTCAAAAGCAATTTGCACATTCGGCCGGTGGAGGCCCGGAGCTGGTTTTTGTTGTTGAAGATGGAGGCCCAGTTTGTTGGGCATACTAGATGGGCCGAGAGACATATAACAAGTAAGGCTTAGCATCCAGTATGTGTAATACGATATTTGTGGGTATCTTACCTGCTCACAAAAATATTTTATCTGTATATCGTGGGAGTGAGTATTGCACATGAGTATATTTATTAATTATAATTATTTTATTTACTTAGGTAAGTATGATATCTAAATTATAAAAAAAATAATTAAATAATAAATATAAAAATAATATATCTGTAAGTATTAAATTAAGTAACAAATATAAAAATTTAGAACTATTTACTTAATTTATTTAATTGATTTATTTAACTTATACTTATATTTATAAAATTAAAATTTTACATGTACTTATTAGACTCAATATCTATATGATAATAATAATTTTTAAAAGTAAAAATAAATGTTACATAAAGTCTATAAATCAAACAAATCACTCGTACAACAATAATCACCTGTATAAATAATAAACCTTAAGCTAAACATATAACACAAGTAATAATAGCATCTTATAATAGATTTTTTTTCTTCTCTAAACCAAGTATAGAAGTATATACCTGCAAGTTACCTTATATATATTAAGTTAAGTGCCAAGTATAAGTTCTTGTATTTGGGTAAATACCAAATTTAAAAAACTATAGTTGAAAATTTTCAAGTATCAAATATGACCCATACTCAACTTGTGCCTGAAAATGCCTTCCCCTACATGTATCTAAGAGACACTTAAATATTGAATATAAGGAATGCCTACTTATAAAAAAAAAAAGTGTTTTGCATGTTATTTTTATAAATTTTTATTTGAAAACTTATTTTTAATTAATATTTTGAAAACTAACAATTAAATTTAAAGTTTTATTTATATAAATTATGTATATTAATTTTTGGATTATTCTAGTATATCACTTCGTTGATTATACAAAATTTAATATTATTAAATGTATATTAATAAATAAATTTTTTTTATCAAAATGTTATAATGTTAGCTTAATCTAAAAATTAATATATATGATTTATGAGTAAAATTTTTAATTTAATAATTGATATTTAAAAATATTGGTTAAAATGTGAGTTTTTATAGATTTTCTAAAAAAATTTTAAAAGAACGAACTTCATTCGATCAATATCTATTTATAATAAATATTGAAAAGTAACCTTTTAAAATTTGTAAAGGAAGGTACGTATAAGTAAAAATAACAAAAAGGTTAAAACTCCATTTTGGTCCTTGAACTATCGTATGGACCCTCGATTTGATCCCTAAACTAAAAAAATCCCTGATTTGGTCTTTCCGTTAAATATCCGCTTACGTGTCTTGTTACTTGACAGAAAAGGATGACATGGAAGACAATAAGACCAAAAAAATGATGACATGTAAAAAATAATAATATAAGAAAATATTATGAAAAATAAAATTAAAAATTTTTTTTTTCTTTTTCCTTCTCTTTCCTTTTCCCTTTCCCTTTCCCCTTCCCCTTCCCCTTCTCTTTCCCCTTCAAACCCAGGCATGCTGGGTTCCACTGAACCCAGCATGCTTGGGTTCCACCAAACCCAGCATGCTTGGGTTCGATGAAACCCAAGCGTGCTAGGTTGCGTCAAACCCAGCGCCTGGGTTCGATGAAACCCAGGCGTTGGATTCCTTAAGACCCAGCCCTGGGTTCCAAAAAAAAAAAAAAAAGGAAATTTATGTTTTCTTTGTTTGGGTTTTGTTGTTTGATGATATGAGAAATTGATTGATGAAGAAGGCAAGGCAGCCGTTGGGTTTTTGCAGGTGGATGAAGATGAGGAAAGCATAGGTGCTGGGTTCGATTTCGAATCCAGCAAGCAATCGAAGGCATAGGTGCTCTTGGGTTCTCCAACGAACCCAAGCACTTGGGTTCTCGAAGGAACCCAGGCCTTGGGCTCGAGAAGGAACCCAGGCCTTGGGTTCGAGAAAGAACCCAAGTGCTGGGTTTCTTCTCTAACCTAGGTGCCTGGGTTCCTTCCCGAACCCAAGCGCTGGGTTCCTTCCTGAACCCAGGCGCTGGGTTTCTTCTCGAACCCAGGCACTGGGTTCCTTTGAGAACCCAAGAGCTGGGTTCCTTCGAATCCAAAGGCAAAAAAATTTCTGTTCTTTTTTTTTTTTTTTGTGGGTTTGGTTGTTTGATTAAGATGAAGAAGGCAAGATAAGGAAAAGGAAGGAAAAAGAAAGGGTACCTGTTGGGTTCAATATTGAATTGATTGTTTGATTGAATTGATTGTCTGAATGAAGGAAGATTCGAGAAAGAAGATGCTGGAGGAAGAAGATGATGCAAAATTGTAATTTGATGGGCCCTACATTTGTTTTTGTGATGGGTATGACCATGTCATCATTTAGCCAGTTGGACAACTAACGTGTCTTACATTTTTGATATTTCTGTGAGTTAACGGACGATTTTTAACGGAAGGACCAAGTTGGGGTAAAATGGGTAAACAGTAGGGACCAAATCAGGGATTTTTTTAGTTCAAGGACTAAATCGGGGGTCCGTACAATAGTTTGGGGACCAAAAAGGGGTTTTAACCTAACAAAAATGTTATTTTTATAATGTAATGTGACATTATTGATGTTGGGTGCTGTGCTTCTCTAAAAAGCCGTGTGCTTGGTTGAATGGAAAGTTGTGAGCCAGGTCGAACAGAGTGCTGCACCTGTGCGGGCACAAAATGACGAGCCCATTAAGGTGAGCGCTAGAGGTTTCTAAAATGATGTTGGGTTTTGTGTTTCTCTAGAAAGTTATGTGCTTGGTTGAATGGAAAGTTGTGAGCTTGGTTGAATGAAGTGTTGTACCTGGACGACACAAAAGGATAAGCTTGTTAAGGCAAGCATTGTAGGTTTCTTTAGTATACACCCTTGACACTCAAGTCAAATCAAATTTCAACAAGGTAAGTTTTAGGTGCAAAAAGGAATAAGAAAGAAAAAGAAGTTTGAATCTAGAATTTAGGATCTCAAATCTACCTTGAGATCTATGCAAATCCCATTTATATAGTGTTGAGATGGCATCTAACTAATAAATAGAAATCTATTATGTCCATACATATATTGAAATTAGATTTGATAAGTTAGATCTAACAGCCACTGAAAAAGTGTCATGTTAGATGTGTCAAGCATGGTTTTCTTATAAAGGGATAATAATCCATCTATAAATGTTAACGCGGATGTGTCTCACGTTTGAGCGCGAGCAAATTGTGACATATGATAGGTTCCACATATACCTTGCTTTTTGGTCACCAATTTTGTGTCATATGTTAGGAAGCTCAGATGCATCACATACCAATTTTGTGTCATATGTTAGGAAGCTCAGATGCATCACATACCAATTTTGTGTCATATGTTAGGAAGCTCAGATGCATCACATATCACCTTGGTTTCATTCTAGAAACCTTAACAATTTAGGTTCCAAATGCTTTCTTCTAAGATCACGAAAGATAGGATTTAACTAAATTTAAGCAGTTTTTTTTTTTTTTAAGTTTCTTAATTATTTCTGAAATGACATTGAATACTTTTTAATTGCAATTCAAGTCTACATGAATTACCAAGATTGTGACATGAGTATATTGCATATTTGATAATATCAATTATAATTTATAAGTTTACAGTTGTAACATGTTATTATATAATTTTTTTATTTAAAATTTATTCTAAATATCATTTGTACTCACATAATGAATAAATAAGTTTTTTATTTTTTAATTTAAATTGTACTAATAAAATAAAAACAATTAAATAAAAAAAATCTCCAACATCACGAGACTTCATTTGATGGTTAAGGTAGTACATTTTGAAGCAAAAATGCATAACACTTTTTTTTTTTTTTTCCGGAATGAATTACAATTTAAGAAAGGGCATTCGAACCCAATCTTAAAAGTACATGTACTTGCAACAGTTATATAACCATCAATTCACGAAACTGAAGTGCGTAATGCACAACACTTTTGGTCAAGTAAATCGACAGCCATTTTTATTCCCCAAACAAAAGCATGAGTCACATGACCCCAAAATTTTCAAATAAATAAAAGGAAAAATTCACCGGCACACAGAACAGCAGTGTATAAAGTAAAACCCAAGGCTCGTCAGCGTCGAAACCTTAAGACGCTCTTTTTTTCGGCTTACTGTTTCGTTGGCCCCAGACTTCTCCTGGTAATGGCTGTTGCCCTGAAATCGACGGCCAGCTTCCTCCAGCTAAAGAAACCCGAAACCCATTCTCTAAATCTGCTTTCATTCCAGAAATCATCAGTTTCAGTCAAGAGGTTCGCTCCAATGGCTTCCCTCATCTCTGCTCCAGCTGTTGGTCTCGCCGAGACCTTCTCTCGGTTGAAGAAAGACGGCAAGGTTAGCATTTTTCTTGTTTTTATATATTCTTCATTTTTACTTAATGGGTATTCATTTTCTGTATTTTGTGTGATTTGGGTTCTTCAGTGAAGGGGATGTTGTTTGTTTGCGAAGGTAAGTGTTTCTATCACAAGGGTCTTCGGGATTTTCATTCAAAAAACCTTGTTGCATGTATCCTATTAAACTGCTGAGTAGTTTGCTTGCAGGCATAATGAACACCATACCAATTGTTAACAATAGGGATATTCTTTTTGGAATTCTTTTTGGAATGAGATTCCTCTTAGTTGCTGGACAATTTTTCTTTGATGCAATGAACTGGTTACTTGCAAACATGATTTATAGGTGTGGTTAAGATAACCATGTTTTTTGTGAGCAAGAAAAATCGTCATTCGTATTCACTATTCAGTCTCATAGTCTACAGAGATTAAATTTTATGGAACCATAGTATTATGCCTTTTGAGATTAGTTTTGGCTCTTGTTAAGATGGCAATTTGGCAATATCCCTTTCTCATTAACCACTAAGGAGAAAAGGAATTTGATCTTTAATCCAGAAAATTTGATATTTTTACCGCATTCCATTATTCATATATGAACCATGGTTTATGATGGTTTGACAAGCCTGCCTGTGTCTGAAGGTGGCATTGATCCCGTACATCACAGCTGGTGATCCTGACCTTGCAACAACTGCTGAGGCACTGAAGGTGCTCGACTCTAGTGGATCGGACATAATCGAACTTGGTGTACCATACTCTGATCCATTGGCAGATGGTCCAGTCATTCAGGTTTGATAATACTACTACTGTGCTTGTTTTGTATGTTAAATTATTATTTTGAAGTCTCTCGGTAATGCATTTTTTCTCTACAGGCTGCAGCTACACGCTCTTTGGCTAGAGGAACCAACTTCAATGCAATTATTTCAATGTTGAAGGAGGTAGGATAATTAGACAGTACTAGGTACATGTTAATATGATGATGGAGCAGCAGTTTTAACTTCACTCAGACCATTTTGGGAAGAATCAACATTTAAATCTTCATTAAACTTCAAAAGGCATGGTGGTGTTATACACTTTGATAGAACCAATGTTGTTATCACTTTTCAGGGTCAATCGGATTCCTGACAGTTCATCTGAAAAAATTTTCCTTCAGCATAATCTTTTCTAACACAAAAATATTGTTTACTTTCCTGTTTCTCACATAAAATTCTTTAACTGAGCATGTTACAACCACTTCATTATTCCTACTTGTGCTAATTATTGAGTGCATAAACCCTGCTACCAATTCAATCACAGAATGCAGGCCACACCCTAACAGTTTATAATATTCATAAATTTTCCATTGTTTTTAAAGAAGGGGTTTTTTAGACATACATCCATGTAGATGCTGATGACTGCTGAAATGCAAGATGTAAAATATCTCAATCAATGATTGATTGCCCTTCTTGCCTCTTTCTTCTGTTATGTACTCTCACATATTAGTCATTTTTGGATAGGTGGTTCCACAATTATCCTCTCCGATTGCTTTGTTCACATACTACAACCCTATCCTTAAGCGTGGAGTGGAGAACTTTATGTCCACCATAAATGACGTGGGTGTACGAGGTAACGCATATCTTTTGCTTTGAATTGATCTTTAGATGTTCAACAGTGATGGTGTCTATGTACTTTGTAGAATGCTTATATTAACCATTTTTTTATATGAGCAAAGTAACTGTATGTGTTTCAAAGCCTGAAGTTTGTGTTTGTGGCATGACTACCCATCTAACATAAATGTAATGGCATCTCAAATAAAGAAGTTTTATCATTTAGGATTAGTATGTCCCAACCTTCTCAAGCATACACAATGATATCATGCCTTTGGGTATGACTATAAGCTTTCTACTGGTTTGGGCCCCAACATTCTGTTTTTATGAGCTTGGCATTATAGGTTGTATTTTTGTTTTTGACTAAAGAGAGCAACTACTCTCGAAATTTTGTGCTTGGATGCAAAATTCAAACTACTCTTGAACAAGTTTTTACACCTTATTTCTAGATATAAGTGGCAGATTCCTAAATTCACTGATGAGTTCTAGCTGTGCTGCTTGTTAGTGTTTGGGGATAAATTATGTCATTATCATCTTTAGTTGGAATCATTGATGGTCTATAGTATGATAATTCTTATAAGTCATGTTCTGATTTCTTTTCTTGTGCACTTCTTTATGGCCTTTTGCAAATCTGCAGCTGTTTTTTTGCTTTGCCAGAGATAGTGAAAGGCTTTGTTGCTTTCTAGAAGTTATTAAGGAAAGATGACATATTTTATTGTCCAAAAACTAGGTCATTGACCCATTTAAAGTGCCCTTCCTTCCTAGTAGTACTGGATACACTTAACAAAGCAAAAACAAAAACAAACATTTACTGAAACTATTATTGGAACTTGTTATGAAAAGCAAATTGAAAAATGGTGCTGCACTGTACAGACTCTATTTGGCTAAAGTCTTATCGACTCCAAGTAAAATGGGAGATGCATATCACTTAAGTCTATATCTTTTTCTATTTACCTATCTTTTTTACTTATTTCCTTTGATAATTCCGGTGCCTGTATAATTTTGTTACATTAATTTTAATAGTTCAAACCTTGTTTTCAGGGCTTGTGGTTCCAGATGTTCCCTTAGAAGAGACTGAAACTTTGAGAAGCGAAGCTATCAAAAAGAATATCGAATTGGTATGTCTCTAAGTTTGATATTTTCTAACTTGTTTTTTCACCATATTTTGCCCCAACAAGTATTATGCCACTCAGAATACAGCTTGGCCATGAACATTGATCACTATAGTAGCATGGAGGTGGCTTCAGTTCTTCACAGTTGACAGTTGAGGGGATTGTGCTTTTGTGTAATTAATTTGACTGAATACAATATTCTGGTTTTTTCACTTAATTTTTTGGTAAATCATTTTATTTTTTGAAAAAGGATGCTTTTTTACTAGCCAAGCATGAGATACCTAAATATATATAGAATAGTTTAAATTTTCCTTTCAGTTTGTATAAATGCAATCGCATTTGTGTACTGGTCATGAGCTATTTATTCCCTTTTCCTTATGAGTTATGAATGCTTATTGCCAATTATTATAATTTCATTTTTCTGTTGTTGAGGTACTGCTTACCACACCAACTACTCCAACAGAACGAATGAAAGCTATTGTTGAAGCGGCTGAAGGATTTGTATATCTTGTAAGATTCTTCTCCAAAGTTGATGTCTTGATGACTATTTCTATTCTCACAAGTTTTATTTTGTCTTTTCCTTATCACTCCATTCCTATCTGTTTGTTGATTTTTATTGCCAAGATGGATGGGACTATTATTAGATTTCTATGCCTTTCTGATATCCATGTACATATATCCTTAAATTACAGGTCAGTTCAGTTGGAGTTACTGGTGCCCGAGCATCTGTCAGTGATCGGGTTGAGACTCTTTTAAACGACATTAAAGAGGTTGGTCTTTGCAAATCAGATTGTGTTTGTCACTGACTATCATTCCAATTTAGTAAACTGGCATTTATGATCTTTTCCAAGTGGGGGTATCATAGCAAATGTTCAGGATGAATGTCTATATTAGATAAAGTTGGGTTTTGTATGGCGCATATTTCTGAAATCATTGCATTCCCGATTGGAACAGCAACTGAGAAAACAAATGAATTCTCTTTCATGTTCCTCATGGTTTAAAATGGCTCTATGTTGGGCAGAAGATTTATCTTCGTCTCGATGCTTCATATGTTGAAATGCTAGTCGGAAAGTATCCATCACATAAATCAATTCTCTTTGGTGTTCCTCATGGTTTAATTTTTATTTTGACAGGCAACAACCAAGCCTGTAGCGGTTGGTTTTGGTATTTCAAAACCTGATCATGTAAAACGGGTTAGTCTTTCAAACATGTCTTGATGCCCAGTTATTGCCATGTTTATGCCCCCATATAAATGTAAACACTTTCTTAAAATTATCATATAGGTAGTGGGATGGGGAGCTGATGGCGTGATTGTTGGTAGTGCCATGGTGAAGCTGCTGGGTGATGCTAAGTCTCCTGAAGAAGGATTGAAGGAGCTGGAAACTTTCACCAAATCACTGAAAGCTGCCCTCCCTTGAGAACGTCATATAGAGTCAATCTGATTTGTTGTTTTCGACCAAAAGCTCCTTTGAAATATATTTTTTTTCTTTAAATATCATTTTATGGTTGTGAGTTTGTGAAACAGATTGTAGTTTTTCTTTCAAAGATATTCGAATGCAAGGTAGCCCCTCAGAAAATTTGTGAACCATCCATTCTCTTAATTTGGTGTCTGCATTCTTTAAAGTGTTGTGAGCTTTAATTGGAAAACAAATACAGCTAGGGTTTATTCTGAATTGTGGAAACTCAATAACTGTTAGGATAGATGTAAATTGAATATTGTAGTTTGGTTATATGGTTAAAGTCCTGATGAAGACTTGTATGAATTAGTTAAAGAGAAACGTCAAAATTAGGATGATGTATTTACAAAATTTTTTGTGAAATTGTTCAAGGACCTTTAATTTTTGTTTTTGTTTTTTTTTATTTATTAAGAGTGTCTGATTATTATTATTTTTGATATTTTAATTATTAAGATATTTAAGTTGTTTGGTATAAAAGTTTGAAACTAAGCAACTTTATTTAATTAAATAGATAAAAAAATGTTTGAACTATTAATAATATTAATTATTTACTATCAAATTAAACAAAGTTAATAATTGCTAGTTTCAAGTTGCAATATCAAACAATCTTTTATTTAAATTGGATAATTTTCTCCCCTCCTCTGCCATGCCATGCCCTGTTGTCATGCCTAAATGACAATGCGACCTAAATCCAGAGTGACTTGTAGGAGGAAGAATTTAGAGAGAGAACTCATTGTTCCGAGTTATTGCATGATGAAGAATGCTGAGTAGAGAAGGTAGGGAAGGGAGGGGAAGGGAGGGGAACGACGCCTTGATGCCTAGAAGGGAGGAACACCACTATAAAAAGGAAAAAAAGTAGGGGGTATCGTTTGGGAGCTGGGAAAAAGGTTCAAAACCAAAATGGGGCCAAAATGTAAATTGAACTTTTGGTTCCCCTCCCTTAAAAATTAAGAAAGGAATAAAGAAAACTATTGCTTTGCCAATAATCAAAGTCTTCTTTTAATTTGATAATGATATAATTACAATATCATGTTTATAATCCCATGTGACATTAAATAAATATAACGTAATATTAAACGAGTAAATGAATACAATATCACAAATAAACTCTTTAATAAAAAAAGTTAATTATAGAACAATATATCATGTTGTTGGCTTACAACACCATGTGGCATTGTAATTATAGCATTTTACTTGTAATTCTTTCCCCTGCAGGTTAAGTTTCAAACATTTGCATCTGTAAAGTCAAGAATGGCAGAATGAACCATAGTCATGTCATTCTGCTCAACAATTCTTGCATGATAAGAAAAGCTCTCATCAAACAAGAGAAAAACAACAAGAAGAAGAAAAAATACAGAGCAGCACTCAACTCCATGCTTATTCAATGTAATTTAAATAGGGTATAAAACTCTGAATTTAAAGTTGCATACTGGAACTAATGGAAAGCACAAAGGATCATTTGTATCTGAAAGAATGATAGATTTCATAATATATAAATAGCTGGGATAAAACATTATCTGCAGTAATGTTGCCATATTGCACTCAGCGCCTCCCTGATGCCACTGATTCTGCAGAGAAGAGGTATTTAACTCGAGAAAGAACTGAATCATGTGCAGGATCATAAGGATGATCCTTTGAAGGTATCTCTAATATGGCTGGAACAGGCTTGTTGTAGCTATCCACCAGAAACCTTATCATATTTGCAACCTGAAAATTAGGACAGGAGGCCACATCATTCAGCATGTGAAACTTTAGATGATTGTGATCTAAATGAAGAGCATGCTTGTTTCAGTATCAGTTCAGAATTACATGAAAGTAAGATTTACTTGTTTAATTTTCAGGTCATGTTATATTGGTATGCAAAGATCATCAAAATATAATAGCCACCAAAGCAGCAAGAGAATTCATCAAAATGACAGCAAAGTGAGACATGATAATTGTTAATCCACAATTTACAATCCCCATACTTCAGCATGAAAAACAATTTAAACATCCTCCTCCAGCCAAACATTCCTTTCCGACCACCATCCCAGGAAAAAGTAAATATCAAACAGAAGAAAAGTTCAGTGTCTTCTTTTAGACCAAGACAAGACTGAATTGATTCAAAGCTCCAAACTAGTAATAAAAAAATGTCTAGTTAACCAACCTTTTCATCAAGAAAGGTTAAACTAAATAGTATTAAATACCAAACAGAAGAAAAGTTCAATGTACCAAAAAATGTCTACTTGCTTAACCAACCTTTTCATCAAGAGTAGCTTAAACTAAACAGTATATGTTTTTGCTTGTTATAAAATGTGTCCTAACCAGAAAAACTGTTAAAAAAAGATGCAAAGAATACATAAACAATCTAACTCTTCAATTTATCTTATGTAATTATGCAAAAATCATATTAGTGTTCTCAAAGAGGAGGCATGAAAATTTGGGTATGATCCTCCAAACACTAGCAATATATATATATATATTTTGTGGATAAAAGGTGAAATTATTTATCCAGAAATACTTGCAACATAAAGCAGCACCGGAGCTGCTACAAGAGAAGAGAGACTAAGAAAAATACACATATAGCTAGTACACATTCTACTATTACCCAGAAAACTAATCTGTCACAACTGTTTCAAGTCCCCATTGAATTGCAATAGCCATAGGAAGTGATGAAGATCTTGGGACTCCAGCATTCTCGCTCAAACCTCAAATTGAATCTCATGAAGGATTGTACTCTCACTTCTGTAGATGAACTCTTTTGTTTCTTTCCATCCAAATGTTGTAGAAATATATATATATATATATATAAAATTTGAACAGACCCACTTCACAAATTCTTGTTTCTCAAAGACACCTTTATACAAGTCTGAACACCATATACTCAAACAACAAACAATGAAACAACACAGGCTATTCAAGCACTTTCCATCAATCATAATCCCCTATATATCTCTTTGACCTGAATGCGGTTTATGTTAATACCAACTGGTCAAAAGTGACTTTTTGCAAGTGTCTAAAACAATGATGAAAGCATGAAATATTACTTAGGACTTATGAGCTATGAGTGATGGGGTTTGATAGCTTTACTTTAAAGCCTCATCGATAACTTAACTTTCAATCTATAAAACAACTTAATCAAAAAAATGCATACACGCAAAAAAGCTAAAGAAACTAACTAATAAAGGAAAGGAAAGGTAACTTACATATTGGCTAATCAAGACAACTGCAATATCCTCTCTTGCAATGAACTCTTTAAATGCATCTTCAATTTGTTTGACAGTGGTTTCTAAAAGGCATGGCAAAAGGTTTCAACGAGATATTCAATTTAACATTCAAGCTACCTATAAGATACACTGTTTGGCAAAAGAAGAAGAATAACAAACAACTAATTTTACAATCTGATATGGTTCCAACCTGAAAATAATACCGAATTCAATCTACTAGCATGACAATGGCAGGTATATGGTTAGCATGAAGATAATCTCAACGTTTTCATTTTTTTTGGGAGGGGGTATGGATATAATCTCTAGTGAACCATACAATGATGATAGCAGTTGGACACAGAACATGCTTAAAAACTGCTTTTCAAACAATAAAAAACTCAAAGTTTAGGAGCATACTTGAGTCAACAATAAGGTAATTTGTCTTTCTCCGCAAGTCAACATTACCCACTCCAGCCAGAAGAAATCCAACCACAGTATCCTAAACAAATAGAAAATACAAAACATACATGTCAAAACCCAAAAGGGTATGCCCATGAGTTGTGATTGTCAGATCAGCTAAATCAGAATAATGTTAGCCCATCAGGCTCATGAAAACAAAGTGTGCAACTGAATTTAATCAAATTCTGTGGCTTCTACAAGTCTAAAACACTTTGCTCCACTGAAACACTCATGGCATGAAATTGTCTCCATTTCAAGTTGTTCAATATTTCACTCTACTCCAAAATCATACAATTTAACCCAAAGTAAGCACGCTTAGTTGCAAAATTCTACCAAGATACTGTGCATCATATCATTACTGGAAAGATAACACAAACCATGGCAAATCACCATAAAAAATATAAAAAATTTCAAGTTGTCCAATATTTCACTCTACTCCAAAATCATACAATTTAACTCAACTAAGCACGGTTAGCTGCAAAATTCTACCAACATATCATGCATGATATCATTACTCGAAAGATAACACAAATCATAGCCAATCACCATAAAAAATATAAAAAATTTCCCTTCTTTGTTTACCCTTCTTCATCTTTCCCACACCAAGGTTACAGGTGAAGCTACCATATCCAGTGGCAAGCAATCAAATATAATGTGACCACGGACCCGGCATAAAAATCAAACCAGTTATTGCTTATCTTTTAAGAATGAACACTAAATTCATACGAAACAAGCTTAATGTCGCAATGAAAATCTCATCAGCCGATAAAGAACTGTCCTTACCTCATCAGCAATCATTGCGATGAGAGCTGAGTTGCTAGTAGGAATTTGAGCTCTACCCGCCATACCAGCTGAATTATGGAACTGCAAGACATCAAACACACGTTCCCGATCCCCTCATTAGAATCTTTAATTAACATCACGAATAAAACTAAATCTAAAAAAGAAAAAACTCATTCCCCGTGAAATCGAACATGCCGGTCCCTCTTTCGAGATTCAATCTCGGAAAAATCATCTCGATTTCGCACTTGAAGATTGTAAACAGAGATTCAGATAAAGAATTACAGTAATGAGTGTATCGATCCGTACAGAGTAAATCAATATTCCTCCTCTCAATCGAAGTCGGGGCTGAAGGATTTTCCGATCTCCCTGTCTCTGGACATGATAAAGGACGGATGTGGACTGGAATGACAAAAGCAAAAAATTCATTAAAACGACTGCGTTTCCAAATTCAGAAAGGTTCGGATTCTGGACCCGATTACCCTCCGGTGAACTCAAGGGGCTGTTTGGTTACTTTTCTAAATTTTTTTTAATAAAATTATTTATATATTTTTATACGTTAATATTACAATAAAAAATGTAAAAACAAAATTTTTAACATTAACTTTCTTTGATACAATTCTAAAAGTTTTCGCTTACTTTCCCTATATATTATTCAATTAACAATTTTGTTATCAATTTTTTCTATATATATATATTTTAAATATTTAGTCATGGGTTGACTTGAATCATTACCCTAACGGAGGGAGATATAAACCTTACAAGAGTGATTAAAACCACTTGACCCATAAAATCAGGTTCATCAGTTTTTTCTATATTAATTTTTTATTAAATAAAAATATTACTAATCTAATAAAATTATAACAAAACTTTATTATAAAATTTATTAATTTTTGTAAAG